CCGAGGCATAGGTTCGTCACACTAACCATTCTTTTCATAGTTTTTTAATTATCAATTTAAGATTATTTTTTTAAAAAACCGACACGACATAATAAAAAGACTTTAAGCCTTTTTAACGAATAAAACTTACTTAACCACTTAACCTACTATTAATATTATTACTTTTAAATTAAGACACCCGGATTAACGAATCTAGTAACGGCTATACTCTGAAAGCAACTTTGAACCGCATATACGGAATGTGACTTCGGGTATTGGACGCGCTGCTTTAGACTGTCTGTAGCAGGTTTATTATCTTGTGCCATTGCTAGAGATAAATCTCAAGGATAGAATGGCGAGTCACAGGTACCGGCCCTTCAGTGCGTGTACGTAAGGCAAGGCACTAATAAAGCTTGCCCTTTCAAACTCAGGAGGTGAAGCACTCACCTGAATTAATAAGCGATAGGTTCAATACAGGTGACACGTATGGGACGTAGGACACCATAACCCGACTTACCATTTCTCAGACAAGGCACAGTTGGAACTACGGCTACGCTCCTCGCCAGCTTCTCGTGGAGACCTCGGCGTGACGTCTTGACCCATCTTCCGAGACTGGTAAGCCCCTCAGCCACCCTTTAGGGGGGCTAACGTGTGGCCCGTTAGTTCGTACTCATTGGTAGATAATCCTTGAAAATTGCTTCATGGAGGCTAGAGTAGCGCTTGACGATACGTGGACACTTAAATGGGAAGTGAGGTGGCCTCCTTCCCAAAATCAAAAGAGCTTAGGTAGCTATCATTAGGGAGTGGATACGATCAATAGGGTATAATAATAGGCTTCGTCCTACTTCTACTGGGTTGGTGATATGTAGCTGCATAGGCGAACCCTTTCCAGGCCAGGGGTTGAGGGCTATGCATGACTGTACAGTTGCGTCTGACGATATGACTCGCCCTGGAAACCCAGTAATGGGTATCGAAAAGGGGGCATCTAGGATGAGGAAGCGCCGGTACGTGAAAGGGTACATATGTCGCTTGTTTCCATACGAGGCAGGCTATCGAACTAATTGGTTCTGACTTATCCAAGAGTCGCTACATGTGAACGCCAAGGGCAGAACCCTCCTTCTGTGCCAGATGTTGAAGACAGGGGCGGCTACAAGCCTTGTACCTAGGTAGGATTCGCCTAATATGGTATGAAATATAGGAGGTTGCATTTTGTGTAGCCACCGTACCCAGTCTACCGTGCCCGTAGGCGATCCTAGTTGTTAGGTCCGGCTAGTAATGAGAAACAGATGATCATACTGATGAGAGATATGAGAGGTAATTCTAGAGTTACTGCATTCTCGTTTCTCGACGAAGTCTCCGAGCTCTGCCCGTAATGAGACCGTCTTGTCGTAGCTAAGCGGTGATTCTATACGAGGAGGTAATACCTCGTTAAACCCTCTCCCCTTCTTAAATCCAAAGCTCGATGATATCTGATAGCAGAGACTGCGCGTTTACCACACCTCTCTCGAAGACAGACCGCGAAGCTGGAAACGACAACCGCCACATCTCGGCCCCTTTGAACGAATGCTAAACGGCGACGAGTTTACCTTGCCCATACATAAATATACAGTAGTTAAGGTAGGATATTATGAACTCCATTGTTCCAACGTCGTGATAGGTATGAACAGATATGGATGTTAGCTAGGCGTCCTGTCCCCGACCCCTTTTCGCTCTTGCAATTCGCGCGCGCGGGCCCAAGACTTATCTTGGTCATCCCTTGCGGCACTTCTTCACGTTAGCATTATAATGACATTTTTGTCCCGATCCTACGCCTTAAGTGTTAGAGATTACGAATCTTTAATGTAAACAAAGCAGGGGTCTCGACGATACATAGGGCATGACCAGGGTGGACGTGGGACAGCACGTGCGTATAAATTCTCAAGGGACAGGCATAATGCTCTACGGAAAATCTTAAACGCAATACCTCGCGTCGCAATCATGTACGGCCCTTCGCTTCCTCAAGCCGTCATTCTCTCTATAGCATCGACTCTCCAGTTCTTACTTGCTATTTTCAACTTCTACCATACATATACACGATCGCTTCAGACCTTTCAGCGTCCGGAGCCCCTAAACGTAAGATATAGGCGCACATTTACAATAGTGGTGGCTATGATATCTTTTGCCGGCATAGTAACTACTATAATATTTGCGAGCTTTCTTTGGGCGAGCGGTGAACTTTGGATACCATACCTGAGCGGGACAATTATCGTCTGGAGTATGATCGGTGAGGTATGCTACTGTAATAATTAGAAGTGTGTTTGGAGAATCGCTCACTATAAAGAAAGCCGGTGCTGGTCGCTGGGACTTCAAGTGGCGGCCAGCGGTCGTTTGCCCCTATTCCTCTCGCCTGCATATCGGTTGGGACTTGTTCCTTATTTGTGGCCGGTCTCATCATGGTTGTCCAATACCAGCTAGCCACCTTGGGCCGTACGTTATATGACGTCTCGATCTATACGTACCGATTTTGGATGGTATGGGAGTGGCTACGTATCGCGCAGGATACGTCACAGAACCAAGGTTGCATTGCTATACACCATCAGCTTCGTGTTCTAGTCTTCGGTGCTAGCGTATTCGGACAACGATTCAACACTGTAACTGAAGAACTTGTCGTATGTATCCCTTCCCGCAGCAATAGTTCTAGCTGACCATGCAGTATATGACTATTTTATTTGTCACATACGACGTTATTGCCGTATTAGCGAGATACCTGAAACGGCGGGATTACCAGGAGAGGGAACACCCAGTATTGGGTATTCTGCTGAGAAGTAGGCCCTCTAGTGTTAGAAATGGTGTATAATAGGAACATTCGAATCTACTAAAGTTGGCAGCTATGATTTCGAAAACCTCTGCCCCTCCCCCAGTGTAATGATCGAAACAGACATTCAACCAATGCTCCGCAAGGCCGCACCATTTC